CATTTGCATTTTGCATCTCAAATCTTCTTTCCTGGAGGCTTCCAAACTTACTCTTTTTACCAAACTTCAGATATCGAATTGGTGACCTCTGTTGAAGCAGGCGATATTTTGCTGGAAATGCAGAAAATTTTGTCAATATTTTTGAAAGTTTTTTTTGGCGGCAAGAGTTCAAAGTGGTTGTTCTGATTGCAGTAGTTAGAGCTGCTGTGTTGATGGATTTTGTGATGTAATTTGTGATAGGTTTAGTTGAAACCTGCAGTGTTTAAGTGTTGTATTAGACTGACATGAACTTGTATTAGTTGAATGTATCTAGTTTTAATTCAAATCTATAAAAATCTCCACTGCATTAGGTGAAACAGTGGATTGGTTTGTGTAAAAATTAACCCGATAGTTTTTATGAAAAACAGAGCATATCCATGCAGCCGTCTCTCTCTTTTGCTTAATATCATTCTCCTCATCACTCTCCAGCATAAAAACCAACAATTGGTATCAGAGCACTTATTGATCTTAAAGGGCCTAATACACTCATCTTTCCTATCCAACTTCTCAACCCCTGTTACGGCATTTTCACTGTCAAACTCCAAATAACCTGTTTCAATGGCACAACCTACGGCTTCCCTTACTCCTAGTTTTCAATGGTGAACAATATCACATGTGGGCTATCAAGATGAAGGCATTCCTCTGAGGACAAGGCTTGCTGCAGTATGTAGAGGAAAATAGTTAACAAACTTAGTTAGGCCCAAATCCCACCCTAAATTAGATCAGGATACATGAAGAAGAAGCTGCTGAGGCACCGAGAGCTTTGTCTCACATCCATGCAACCATAACTGCCCTCGTTTTTACAAGAATTATGGCGTGTGAAACACCAAAGGAAGTATGGGATAAGTTGAGAGAGGAGTTTATAGGAAGTGACACAACAAGAGGCATGCAAGTGTTGAACTTAAGAAGGGAATTTGAAATGCTAAGAATGGAAGAAACTGAGAAGGTGAGGGAGTATGTTGACAGGCTGATGAGTATGGTTAACAAAATTAGGTTGCTTGGGGTGGAGTTAACGGAAGAATAGTAGAAAAGGTGTTGGTAAGCTTATCCGAAAGGTTTGAGTCTAAATCTCTTCTCTTGAAGACTCTAAGGACCTGTCTCAAATCACTCTCACTGAGCTAGTCCATGCCTTACAAGCTCAAGAGCAAAGGAGACTCTTAAGACAAGAAGATGCAAGTGAAGGTGCAATAATGGTAGCTCACAAAGGCAAGTTTGTGCAGGAAGGCAACAAGAGGAATGCTGGAGACAAGAAGGGGAAGGAAAGAGCCAATATTCAGTGGAACAAATCAGATGGGATGAAGGAGTATCCACCATGCTCTCACTACAAGAAGAAGGGTCATTTCGAGAAGAGGTGTTGGTTCAGCCCAAGAATTCGAGACAGGGCCTGCAAACAATTTGGCCACATAGAGAGAGTCTGCAAAAAAAAAAGGAGAACCTTCCCAGCAACAAGCTCAAGTGGTTGAAAATCAGCAGCAAGGCCAAGAAGCTGAGCAATTGTTTATGGCATCCTACTGCGCAGCTCCACTTTGCAATGAGACTTGGTTGATTGACAGCGGCTACACCAACCACATGACGCCAAATTTGCAAAGCTTCATCAGCTTGGACAAGGCATATTAGTCCAAAGTTAAGATAGGGAATGGAGAGTTTGTAGATGTCAATGGCAAAGGTGATGTGGCTATGCAAACTAAATCAGGTACCAAGCTAATTTCTAATGTTCTTTATGTTCCTGAAATAAGCCAAAGTTTGCTTAAAGTAGGACAAATGTTAGAGAGAAAATATGTCTTGCATTTTCAGGACCAATCTTGCAAAATTTTAGATAGTGAGGGCTGTGAACTTATGAAGTTTAGGATGATGGGAAAGAGCTTCCCCATTGAGTGGAAAAAAAATCAAAATTTAAGGCTCATAGTGCTAAGGTAGATGAATCTGAAATATGGCATAAAAGATTTGGCCATTTTCACTTCCATGGCCTTAAACAAATTCAAACCAAATAGCTGGTCCAGAACATGCTCAAAATTGATGAAATTAAGTTTGTATGCCCTACTTGTCAACTTGGCAAGCTGAGTAGACAAGCCTTTCCCATAAACCAAGCTTGCAGAGCTGCAGAGAAACTCCAACTCATCCACACATATGTATGTGGACCTATGCAAACACCTTCATTGAACGAGAGCAAATACTTTGTCTTGTTCCTTGATGATTGGTCTAGAATATGTTGGGTGTACTTCTTAAAACAAAAGAATGAAGTGGCTGCTACTTTTGGGAAGTTTAAGTTGCAAGTTGAAAACCAAACTGGTTTAAGTATTCAAATAGTGAGGAATGACAATGGGAGTGAGTATACTTCAAAGGAGTTTGAAACAATTTGCATAGAGGCTAAAATTAAGCACCAATATAGCAGACCCTATACTCCACAACAAAATGGAGTAAGTGAGAGGAGGAATAAGACTATTGTAGAAATGGCAAGATGTATGGTTGTTGAGAAGAAGCTACCGAAGTGTTTTTGGGTAGAGGTTGTTAACACTTCAGTCTATCTACTTAATAGGCTTCCCACAAAAGCCTTGATCAACCTAACTCCTTATGAAGCCTAGTATGAAGTCAAGCCAACTGTGGACAATCTAAGGGTCTTTGGAAGCATTTGTTATGTTCTTATTCCAGCAATCAAAACGAGTAAGTTGGATGACAAAGCAATCATAGGGATATTCATTGGATATAGCAATCAATCCAGAGCCTATAGAGTGTACATTTCAGAAACTAAGAAGATACATATTACTAGAGATGTTAAAGTTGATGAGAAAGGTGTCTGGAATTGGGAGGAAGACAAAGTTGATGAAGAGGTAAGACCACGGCTGACTGAAGCTGTCAGTGGTCAGAATTTTGAAGAACATGAAAGTGATGCAGAAGAGGAGTTCTCGGTTAGAGTTACCAGATCTTTGGTTAAGGTGTATGAGAGGTGCAACATGGTTTCACTTGAACCAACAAGCTTCTTTGAAGCAGCAAAATCAGAAGCTTGGAGAGTTGCTATTTAAGAGGAGTTAGCAATGATAGAGAAAAATCAGACCTAGAAATTTGTGGACAGACCAGATGATAGAAAAGTGATTCAAGTCAAGTGGATTTTCAAGAAGAAACTTAATCCGAACGGTTTAGTTCATAAGCATAAAGCTAGGCTGGTTGTCAAGGGATTTGCTCAACAATATGGAGTTGATTTTCAGGACACATTTGCACCCATGGCTAGGCATGATACAATTAGGTTACTACTTGCTCTAGCGGCACAATTTGGGTGGAAAATCTTTCAATTGGATGTCAAGTCTGCATTCTTGAATGGTTAGCTCAATGAAGAGATTTATATTGAGCAACCAGAAGGGTACCAAGTCAAGGGCCAGGAGAACAAAGTGTATCTTTTAATGAAGGCTTTGTATGGCCTAAAGCAGGCTCCTAGAGCCTGGTATAGCAGGATCAATGACTATTTGATCAGTCTGGGTCATTTGAGGAGGCCCAATGAGCACACCTTGTATGTGAGAGAGCTGGAAGAAGAATTGATTATTGTCTCACTCTATGTAGATGACATTCTCATCACTGGAAGTAGTCCAAGTCAGTTTAATGAGTTTAACGAAGTCATGCATTGTGAATTCGAAATGACAGACCTGGGAGAAATGTCCTACTTCCTTGGTATGGAAATCAATCAAGCTTCATGTGGGACATCAAAGGAAGTATTCTAATGAAGTTCTTAAAAGGTTTGGCATGGATAAGTGCAAATCAGTAGACACTCCACTAGTTGCAAATCAGAAACTGAGCAGAGAAGATAGGGTTGTGAAGGAAGATGGGGCTGTGAATGTAGATGAGGGTCTGTACAAAAGCTTAATAAGTTGTTTGTTGTACTTAATAGCAACCAGGCCTGATTTAATGTTTGCAACAAGTCTTCTCTCCATATGAGCAACCCGAGTGAAATTCATCTCAAGGTAGCCAAGAGGGTGCTGAGATACATTAAAGGCAGTCCTAAATTTGGTGTGTAGTTTAAGAGGTCTGAAAATTTTTAGCTTGTTGGATACTCGGACAGTGATTGGGCTGGATCCATTGATGATATGAGGAGTACTTCTGGCTATGTATTTTTCTTGAATTCAAATGTTATTTCTAGGCTGTCCAAAAAGCAGGAAACTATAGCTTAGTCCACAGCAGAAGCAGAATACATTTCTACTACTGCTGTCGTGAACCAAGCCATTTGGCTTAGGAAAATTCTGAATGATTTAAAGCAAACTCAAAAGAGGCCTACTGTGATCCTTTGTGATAATTAGTCTGCTATAGCAATGGCTAAAAACCTGTCTTGCATGGTCGTATGAAGCACATTAAAATTAAATTTCATGAGGTAAGGGAAGCTAAAGGAAATGGAGAAGTTGAGCTAGTCCATTGCAGGGGTGAAAACCAGGTGATAGACATCATGACCAAGGCTTTATCCAAAGCCAAGTTTGAAGATTTAAGGCTCAAACTTGGTGTTTCCAGCAAAAATATCAAGGAGTGTTGAAGCAAGTGATATTTTGCTGGAAATGCAAAAAACTTTGTCAATATTTTTGAAAGTTTTTTTTTTGCGGCAAGAGTTCAAAGTAGCTGTTCTGATTGCAGTAGTTAGAGCTGTTGTGTTGATGGATTTTGTGATGTAATTTGTGATAGGTTTAGTTGAAACCTGTAGTGTTTAAGTGTTGTATTAGACTGACATGAACTTTTATTAGTTGAATGTATCTAGTTTTAATTCAAATCTATAAAAATCTCAACTGCATTAGGTGAAACAGTGGATTGGTTTGTGTATAAATTAACCCTATATTTTTTATGAAAAACATAGCATATCCATGCAGCCGCCTCTCTCTTTTGCTTAATATCATTCTCCTCGTCACTTTCCAGCATAAAAACCAACAACCTTAATCCTTAGTACAGCAGTGGTACAGTCTGGTCAATTATTCTTTCGCTCCTGTCTGGAGATGAAGAACTTCATCAGGTTCCAATCAAATTGCAATGCTCTAGAAAAGCAGATGAAGAGTCTAACAGATCTTCAAAACAAAGTGAAAGAAGAAGTTGACTCGGCTTATACTCAAATAATAGAATGGCTCAGAGAAGTTCAACAATTCACGCTTGAAGTGGCACACACTGCTAGAATAGTCAATAACGGATGGTTCTTTAATTTCAAAGAAAATTGTAGACTTAGTAGGGAGACGGCCAGAATGTTCAAGGAAGTAGAAAGAATTCTGAAGGCTGGAAATCTTACTTCTCAAATGGTGGGTCTCAATTACTTGGCAAAAACAGTTGAGCACATCCCTAGACCTTCAATTGAAAGTCAATCTACAGCATCAAAAACTTTAGCCAAAATTATGAATCTATTGAATGACGATAATGTTTTGAGGATTGGTGTTTGGGGCATAGGAGGTGTTGGCAAAACTACTCTGGTAAAGAACTTGAACGACAATCTCAAAAACTCTTCTTCCACACAACAATTTGGCATGGTAATATGGGCTATTGTGTCCAAGGAAATGGATTTAAAAAGGATCCAAGTACAAATAGCAGAGAGATTGAATTTAAAGGTGCAAATGGAGAAATTGTGGACATATTAGCAATTCAACTTCATGAGAGGCTCCAACAGGTGCATAAATATCTTCTTATCCTTGATGATGTTTGGGAGGCAATTGACTTGGATTGTATCGACATCCCACAACCTAAAACTAATGCCGATTCTAAGATCATATTGACATCTTGCTCCCAAGAGGTATGCAGGGATATGAAGACTGATGAAGAAGTGAAATTGGAGACCGTGAATGATGAAGCATGGAAATTGTTTAGTAGAAATGTGGGGGAGGTAGCTACTTTAGACCATGTCACACCCTTGGCATGAGCAGTTTCTAGAGAATGCAGTGGCTTGCCATTTGCAATCATTGATGTGGGAACAGCTATAAGGGGAAAGACTATGGTTGAACTCTGGAGGGATATGCTTTGAGCGAGTTGCAAAAATCAATTCCTTATATGAAAGGCATAGAGGAAAAAGTCTACAAGCCCTTGTAGTGGAGCTACGATTCCTTACAGGGTAGAAACATAAAACCTTGTTTTCTATATTGTTCGTTTTATCCTAAGGATTTTTTCTATTAAGGTAAGTGAACTTGTAAATTGTTGGCTAGCTAAAGGTCTGTTAGATGAACAGCAAAGTTATGATGGCTTGCACAATAGAGGGATTGCTCTGATTGAAAATCTGATGGACTCTTGTTTACTGGAAGGAGGAGATCGTGAAGGCACTGTGAAGATGCATGATGTAGTTGGAGATGTTGCTATATGGATCTCTTCTTCCATGAAGGATGGATATAGGTCACTTGTTCGGTCAGGAACTGGTCTAGCACTAATTTCAGAAGCTAAAATGTCCGAGTCTCTCAAAAGAGTCTCTTTCATGAATAACAGATTAAGAAAGCTACCTGATCTTAGAATTCATTGTCCACAGACCTTCACTTTACTGCTACAAGGAAATCTCTCCCTTAAGATCATTCCTGATGGATTTCTGCAGGCATTTCAGTCACTCAGGATCTTAAATATCAGTGAAGCATGCATTCTGTCATTGCCTCAATCCATTCTCCAATTGATCGATCTTCGCATGCTTGTCTTAAAGGATTGTGTTTATCTTGATGACTTAACCCAAATAAGCAACCTTAATAAACTACTAGTGCTTGATTGCTCTACCACCAACATTACGAAACTGCCAGGCAGAATGGAAAATCTGAGCAACTTAAGGCAATTAAGCTTGTCCCGCACAAATAAACTAAAATCCATTAAATGTTGCATTATATCCCAATTGGTTTGTTTGGAAGTCCTGGATATGACACGCAGTGCTTATATTTGGAGTGTGAAGCAAGAGTCAAAAAATGGACAAGGCACTTTTGAAGAGCTCCAATGCCTTCAGCACTTACATGTCTTATCCATAAGATTGGAGGGCATTCCATCTCTTCACTATGAGGATCTTTTCTGGATATGTAGATTAAGACAATTCCAATTCTATACGGGTGCAACAGCGAAATCTCTGCCAATTAAACGTGAAGAACGATCAGTGATTTTAAGAGATATTGATCTTTCCCTAAAGTAGATTCCATGGTTGATAATTAAGGCAACTTCTCTCATCTAAATCACTGTGGAAAGCTGAAGAAAATGCTCGAAAACTTGATCAAAGATTCTCATGTCTTGTACAGTTTAAAATCACTCACTATTGAAAATTGGGAAACTGGTTCCAGAGACGACTTTCAGATAAGAGTATCCGCATCCCGATTTGATCTTCTTCCAAATCTAGAGGAACTTTATGTCTGTGGTCTCACGGCCCTAAAGAGCCTTTCAAAATTAGTTTGGTATTGTGCACTCATATTTTCTAGACTAAGACTACTAAAAATAACCCATTATCCCCAATTTGAACGTGTTTTCTTGTATTGTAATCGCTTCCTTAAGACAGAAAACCTTGAATACTCCTGCGACTTACTGAAAGAGCTCTTCCAAAATATACTTGGGAAGAAGAAATCTCCTAAGTATGTGGTTCCAAACCTCCAAGTAATTGATCTTGTTGATGCTTGATTTTGACACCAACTATTCGCACGTGAGAAATGCTAAGCGAGCTTAGAAGTCACACGTGGTTATGGAAGTATTTAGTTGAATAAAGGGTGAAGAATAATGTTTAAAGTGGTTCGGATGCTCACAAGGCGAATCCTACGTCCACTGATATTGTATTAATGAGTAGAGTCAGGTCGCATTCAACGAGTTGAGTTACAACATTGAGAATACAAAAGAGAGAGAGAGTATGCTATTCCAGAGTGAAATTAGCCAATCCCCCAAATGGGAGAAAAGCCCTCTATTTATAATAGGATGAATCAAGGTAATGATTACTAAATATGTGAGTGGGATGGAAGCCGGGCAAATCCTTCTCTGCGTCCCATTGCTCACCTGTCTGAGTGATTTCCTCGACTTGTGTAGGGATTGGACACGTGGAGCACCTCCGACCATTTGCCAACCTGGCGCACACCCACTACACTGGTAGGAGTATGCTACTCACGTCATCACGCAACGTGGCCGCATCTAAGTGGTCGTAGAACCTTCTTAAGTTCTGACTACCCATGCAGACAAAATTCTGCGTCAGCCCTACTTTTCCAGGCATAACAGAAGTCCCCTAGTTTTTAAGGATTGAGAATCGAACCTTAAGAACGTCACAATTATGCCTTGATTTGATATGTTCCAAATGACACCCAATCGATCCGACCTGGCTACAAGGAGGTCGCAAGACGTTTCCATAAGGGTGACCTGAAGTGGTCTCCTTCCGCAAGGTCTACGACCTGGACCAGACCTTATTCAATGTCATATTAATGCGCCTCTTATCTTGATCGAGGTCCGTGACCTGGTTATACTTAGCGTATTTTTTGCTGAAGGCAAGGAGTCACATCGTTTCACAATTGACCGTTGCATCGCTTCACAACTGACATGCGATGAAGAGTGTTTTATCCTAACGACCTCTTCAGATGTTATCCGTTGCGCTTTGGCAGCTAATCCATTAATGAAATACCTTTTGCTCTAACAAATGTGTCATATGCACAATAAGTGATAGCCATGCGCATTAAATGTAAGTCATGTTAAAACGACATTCCTTTTCAGGGTATTAAATGTGGATGAGGGCGCATTTAATGTGGTGGAGGGAAACGAGTTGTCCCTTGATTATTTCAACGGAGGGAAGCGATAATTTGATTTTTTGAAGCATGACGGTTACTCTTTCCTGTTGATTGACGACACGTGGTCGCAGTCAATGGCGAGAGATGACTTCCGTCCAAACGTCGCTTGGCTTCGGGAAAACCAATCGCCACTTCCTTCACTATAAAATGCCAGGCTCACCGCAAGCAATGTCACAATACTCACTTTTTCAGAGAGAGCAAGCATCTTTCGTGAGACCAAACTTTCCATCTTTCAGATTAGTGCACACTTGAAGTTCACAGAAGGTAGTTCAATCCTCACACTCCAGAGGTAAGGACGATTCTTTCATTACTTTCTCTTTCCTGTTTTGATGATAACCATGTGATAACGATGGGTGTTTGCCGGTGGTTGATCGGAGAAGAGGCTTTCCCCTAGGGTTTGAGTCTTTGGGGGTGGCCCCCAAGGATCCTTAGGGTTTTTCTAGGGTTTAAGGAAGATAGTGTTTATCTTTTCTTCCACGTCATTATACGAAACTATGTACAACAACTGAGTAATTCCTGCATGTCGCTCTTTTTAGACCGCGGAAGAAATGGACCCTTCAACGACCAGAACAGACGAGGAAACGAGCTCGCCGGTGCAGGACACCCGAGCGGGTCCCTCACAGGAAATCTTGTCAATAGCCATAGCAAAGGAAATTCAAAAAGCTGTAGACCAATACGCAATTAGCGTAGATGTCTACCAACATAGGACGTATACAGCTCAGAGTCTACCAGAGGGAATGGTTGTGATCTCCGAGAACATCTTCAAATGTGGAGCACTGATTCCTTTCCACCATTTTATAAGGTCGATCCTTGATCACTTCGGGGTCACACCGTTACAACTGATGCCAAATGCATATATAATAGCAGTGGCTATATATATCGCATGCGGCAAGAACGGTCTTGGCAAACTGACCATGCTGGAGCTCAGCTACTCGTATTCCTTAAAAAAGAGTAAAGACAAGGACTATTTTTACCTCTCGAAGCGATTTACGATTGAGGGAAGGATATACAGTTACCCCAGTAACGTCGAGGCGTATGAGATGAAATTTTTCTTTTTTCATTACGATGTCATTTGCCACTTTAGGGAACCGAGTAGGTCTTCCTTTCTTTTTCTTGGTGAATTTTCTTTCTTTTAATCTTTGCTAATGAACTTTTTTGCTTCTTCACAGTAAACAAGACAACCAGGTTGTTGGCTCTTGTTGACTTCAATAGAATAACTGCCTTCAGTCTTCTGTCCAAATAGAGTCGCAACGTAAGGCTGCTCGTGACAACCGTAAACTTGCAAAAATACGGCTTCTTCAACCCCGAAGCGACCTTGGAATCCTTACCAAATAAGTATCTGTATCTTTAGCCAACTTTGTTGTTTACATGCAGCGAACTATTTTGCTAACGATGTCTGCATGCAGCGACCATGCCACCGAAGGTGCCCAGGTCACTAAGAGCCAGGCAGTTCACCTTTCCTCTAGTCGGTGCCACGAGACCAACCAGGGCAGACCCCACCGATCCCCCCATTGGAAGAATGTCAACGAGGGTGTCGGCTCGAGCAGTAAACACTCCCCAACCTGCGACTACCTGACCTAACCAGAAAATCGTAGCCTAGAAATCGAAGAAGAGGAAGCAGCTTCGAGTCGAGGAGTCAGAGTCTAAGCCGGAGGGTCGCAACCTTTTCAGGCCTTCTACTTGAGAGGGCCCTCCGAGGGTGCGATAGGCACTGCACTTGCCCTTGAGGGTCCGCACGGGGGGCAAGGGAAGGTCGCGGCTCCTAGGAGGAGAGCGAGCAAAGAGCCAGCGGGCGAGATGCCACCTGCTGCGGGAACGGGCACTCCCTTGCTGGACTCTATAATGCAAATCCTGAAGCATTTGTAGCCGGTGATGTTTATCCTGTTAGAGTGCCAGCTCGCAGAGGCATTTGAGCAGTTTGTGGTCTCTAACCCCGTGGACCTGATGACCATGGCATTTCAGCTGCAAAGCCAAGTAAAAGGGGTTTGTCCTCGTCGAGGACTTTCTTACATTTTCTTACTTTTTTAATGAAAAGGAATTTAACCCTTGCTCTCTTTGCTATGCAATCCCTGCTCGCCATGCACCTGGCCCAACAGAAGACTCAATTGGGGGCTACCGAGGGGCTTGTCGAGCTGAGAGAAGAGAACGTGCGACAGAAACGGGACTTAGAAGCCACACAGACAGAAATGAACCTATCCACCGTTCAGACAAACCAATATCTTTCGGAGAGGAATGCTGCGCTCTGCACGATGGATTTTCATAAGGCCGAGCTCGAGAAGAGAGGAGAAGTTAAAGAGCTCCAAAGGACAGTGGCCAGACTCACCAAGGAGGCTGGTGAGAAAGAGCTGGAGCTATAGGCGAACTTCAAGCGAGCCTTATGAGCAGAGCAGGACAGAGTGCAGTTGTGAGAAACGTTCGAGAAGTAGAGGTGGGCACTGGAGGCAGAACTCAAATTTTCCCAAGGACGTGTCGCTTCGTTAACTGAAGAGATGAAGCGACAAGAGCTAGAAATTGAGAGGAGGGTCGTCGACTGGTCGACCCAGTCCATCTATGCCCTTTGACCAAAGAATCTGAATATAGACCTCACTGACCTTCCAGACGACTACCAGAGGATCCTCACTTCCATGGCACAGGCCGATGACGAGGAGGAAGGTCAAGGGCCTAATCCGGAGGATGAGCATCCAGAGGAGTACATCCCAGTGGAACCAATGGTCGACCAGGTGATCAGCGACCAACCTGGAGATATTGAGGTCGCGCCTTCGGGGCTTGGGAACGAAAGCTAGTGATGGCTTCTGCTTCTGCTTCTGCTTTCTATAACTATCCCTGTTGCTCGCAAATTTGTACTTGCTTTTTTAATTTTCAATAAATAAAGAAATTATTTCCTTAATCATTCATGAGTACTTATAATTTTTTGTACTTCACAAAAATTACATGTAGACACGAGATCGCTTTTCTAAATATTTGCAATAGTATTTGTACAAGTGATATACGCGAACAGAATGTCACACATGTGAGAAACAATATTACTTTAGAGCTTATCTCTTTTTTTTTTTTTTTTTTTTTTTACAAGGCTAAAAGAGTATTTACAAGAAAATTAGAAAATGAGTTCGCAAATTACTGATACTAGGGGCGAAGATGTTCAGCATTCCAAGCTCGTGGTACTTCAGAAGCGTTCAGCCTTTTAAGGTGATAAGTCTCCAGTCTTATCACTTTAGCGATGTGGTATGGGCCTTCCCAATTCGGCCCCAATACTCCCGTATTTGGTTCTCTTGTACCGAGAAGGAATTCTTTTAGAACAAGGTCGCTAGCCTGGAAGTCTCTTCTTCTAATCTCAAAGTCGAAGAACCTTTTCGCGCGCTGTTGGTAGGCTACTATCCTTAGC